ATTTGAATTTGTATACCTTCAGGAACACACAGATCCTGTGATTGAGGAGGAATCGGCTTATTATCATGTATTTTGTTTTGTCTTCATTTACTTGTAGGCCCTTTTTTCTCTTCCTCTCTAATTAGAATCTTAGCGAATTTCTCAATGTCCTCTTGATTACTTCCAAGGACAGCTATATCATCTGCATAGTCTAGTATTTAATGATTGTGTACATATCATGCATCACATTAATCAAATGTGCATACATTTGACTAGCACTCCTCCATTTTCGTATGATGTTCTTGTCATCTTCTTCAGGGCTGAATGGAACAACATCGGTGACAAGTTGAATTAGTTAGTCATTTTAAATTTATTAATTTTCTGTTTTTTTTTTTTTTTAATATAAATGGTATGTCATACTTAGTGTTGCCCAAATGCGAGACCGAGATGAGTCTTGGTCTTGCAAACTTTGTTTTGATCATGGTCTTGGTCTTGCGCAAGTCTCGCAACAGTCTTGAAATTACTTATTAGCTTATTACTATGAAGATATTACTGTATTTTTATAAGATAGGAGAAACCTAACTAAGCCAGAATGAAAAATTAAAGGAGTTAAATGCAAAAGTATATTGGTTATACCAATTATTAACATATAGTAACTAAGATTGTCAAGTATTAGTAACTCTTTTGTCTTGATTTTTCTTAACAAAATCGATTTTTTTTGCCAGTCCTAGTCTTGGTCTTGGTCTTGCAAAGTGCAAGACCAAGACCGATTTTGGGCAACGATAGTCATACTGTCGGTTAATTTTCAGCTTTTGTTTGTGCTTTGTCAACTTACTTTTTTATAATTATTTTTTTGAAATTTGATTGAAATACATAAATAATTTTAAAATATATTAAATTTGTGTTGATTTTGGTTGAGGAGCAACGACCTATACACTCGCACCGCCCTCAAGCCCCACTGCCCCGGATTCTACATATCCGCTGGAGTGAAACGCTTTCCTCCAGAACTGACCTAGACAACCTCCGTTCTACATATCACTTCTGGTTCGGGTTACTGTTGAAGATTTTATTTCAATTGTTCGGTTAGGTTAAACACTATAGCAACAAAACCTAGAAAACCGACTATTACCTCTACACCACTCAAAAGGATTATTAGGGTACCTAAAATTATCAATTAATATCAAGGTACTATGTCAATACTCAAAAGCAAGAACGTAGATCATAATAAAACGTAGGTCTGGTATTAAAACTAAAAGAAAAAAAATCACGTTTATTTATATATTGTATGTAAAAAATATAAAAAAACGTCTACCAAGTAGGGTCAGTGTAGCTTCCTCAGCGTTTTCATTGGCCAAAATATGTCTGCCTTCGGCCGCCCTTCTCAATCTGTCTACTCCCAGGCTCCTTAGATCATTTTCGAGGTATTCCAGCCAAAGAAGTCTAGGCCTGCTTTTTTTTTTTTTCTTCCTCCTGGATGTCCCTCCATCATCATTCTAGGGAACATAACATGTACCATTCTTTGCGCATGTCCCAACCATCTTATCCTTCTCCTCTTTATGGTGGATATAATTTCTGGGACACTACACGGCTTCTCCATCTCGTCATTTGTCTTCATACGCCAAATATTTCCTTCTACGAAGGATTTTCCTTTCCCACTTGTTCAATCGCCCCTCTTCGTTGAGTGTGTGTCAGCATTCGCTACTATATATCACAGCTGTTTGTAGGACCGTTATATACCCTTATTTTGAGCGCTCTTGGTATGACGATTTCAAAAAATTTTTTTTGGGAACAATAACACTTACATTCTTAATATCTTATTTAATTATGTTTAGAATAATGTTTATTATTTTATATGTTTTGAACGATTATATTTAATAATTTTATTCTCAGGTATGTAGTAAAACCACTTTATTTAAAAAACTAATTTTATTACAAAATTATATTCTTTACTATCATAAAAAAAAGTTATTTTTTTCTTTTATACCAATCAACATATTTATCTCAAATTGTTTAGACATGATCTATGTAATGAAAAGGTCACACTGAACCGTATTTAATTTAAGATTTTCTACCCATATATATTAAATTATTGAAAAATCATATTAAAAAAAAAAAAACATGCCAAGTTAATATTCGCTTGTCGTTAAAGGATTTTCATATTTTAATTTTTGCAGAGTGTAGTAAAAAAAAAAATCTAATTTCTGTTCGAATATTATTGAATATGTTTTTCTCACTGAACGATGGTTTTTTTCATACTTCAATTGTTAGCGATCTAAAATGCATTTTTGTTGTTTAAACATTTTCGAATGCTGTTAATCAGAATAACTAATAATAATCAGATTAAATATAATAATTCTCAAATGTATCCATTCTTGCTATCTATAAAATAAAAAAAGAGCAAATAACGGAAATGAATAATTAATAATATAAAACAACTGATTAGTAATGGGTTTTTAACTGCCATCTCCCATTAGAGGGGAAAGCCTCACTTTACAGAGGCTGAGTGTCTCTTTCAAAAAATGTTTAAACCATTGAAATAGGAAATTCAAATAGGAAATCATGACTGTGCGTTAGGCCAGTAAGATCCACAAATTCTAACCACGAATATAAAAAAAGCTTAAACTCACTAAGAGACAAAATAAACATTAGGTTGCAGGGATGTCCAAAAGTGGGTTTGCAGGCGCAAGTTGTGCCTTCAAAATTTTTGAGGAGGGCACATTTTGATGAGGTTTAGAATTTTTGAGGAGGAGGGGGATGAAATTTCGACAGGGTTATGAATTTTCGGAGTTAAAAGTTTTAAACCAGGAAAAAAACCACTGCTACCCATGAAGGTTCAGTACTTAAGGTCCTGGGTTCCGTACTATTTAGGGAAAGCAATCTTTCTTGGTCTACGGTTGTGCAAGGAGGTGGATTTGACCGAGATCACGGTCGACCACCAGATTTTTCACCTTAACTAATTATTTTAATTAAGGATACCAATGTAGAAGCTGGGTGTGCCCCAGGGGGTCTACCCAAGGTCGTTCCATGGCCAATGAAAAATAATAAATAATTTTTCTGAGCCGGGATTCGAACCTGGTACCTTTAGCATTGGAATCATTGAGAATCATTACCTTTAGCACTCCCCAGGAATCATTGAGAAAAACATGGACATGGAACATGGAGTGTAATTGTATATGATATACGATTTTTCTAATTCTTCTTTGGCCTGCCCTGTTTTTAAGATGAGGAGAGGAATAAAATATCTTTGGATTTAGGATTAATTCATGCAACATTGACCTTGAGGGGATGAGCACCATTGGTAGGTTCCAACTAGAAAAATCAAACCACATAGCCTTATATCTCTAAAATTTAAATATAATAACCCGTCAACGTTTCAGTTCAATTCAGGCATCGTCAGGACAGAAAGAAACAAATCCAAGATCACATCTCTTTATGACATCCAATTCCATACGGAAGAAAGGTGGCGTAATGAAGCTGAGGAAGATTATAATCAAACAACTTATCACCAAAAAAAACATGTAATTACCAACCAAAACACACAAATATGCTACGAAAAACTCAAATGATTAATAAAATAGGAAAAAAATTTTTTTTTTTGATTACTAAATAAAACAAAATGAGAAACAATAAAAGGATTTAAACAATACTCCTTTTTAATTTCATTTACCTATATATATATATATATATATATATGATATAATAAGGGCAAGTATTGCAGTCATGAAAATTTTCAAATCTGTGTTTTCAACGGAAATATACGTTTTGAGGTACCTTGAGTCTAAATAAACAAGTACCAAAAAATGGTCTGTGCGCATGTGAACATTCTAGTTCTATTAATAACTCATTTTATTCATGTAAACAAACTAAAGAAATTAATTATGTTTTACAAGCTTCAAACAGGCTGTAATGCACTTAGTTCGATAACTAAATACTGTGAAGTCATTATATTGACTCATTAAACAGATGAGTAGGTCAGAATGATAAAAGCATGAGATAAATTAATGATGTCATCCCCTCAGTTAGGTGGGACTTAGTAGCATAGTAGCACAGTTAACAAATTCGATTCAAGCATTATTGGTATATGTCTCTGCGTATAAATATATATATATATATATATATATATATATATATATATATATATATATATATATATATATATTGCCTATATTGCCTTCACAGACCTTATTGGTCTTTTTCCAGCCTTGTTCATTTCTGACTATCTTGGGTTATTGCTTTCCAGTTATGCGCATGCGTCTCTCCTACATCTTTGTTGATTCGATCTATCCATCTGCTTTTTTATCTTCCACGTGGTATTTGTTTTGAAGCTTTCATTGTTGTGTATAGATTTCCAAATCGATTTCTCTGAGTTACATGCCCAACCTATCTTATCCTCCTTTTCTTCATACCATGAGATATTGAATGATCAGTTTGTATAATCAGTAGAACACCTCATATTCTTGATATTATATGATGTACATACTGCTTAAGATCAGTTACGGTTTAATATTTTTGTAGACTATTTTTTTTTTTCGATCTTGTGATCATATTATCTTACAATCCAAGTGGAAATCAAGTGGCTATTTATGTGTTTTTAGTACCTAATTAAATAGACAAAGTTTGACCATCTTCAGATTGAAAACGCCCCAATTCCCAACGTCTAAAAGTTTTCGTAAATAAAATAGTTGTAGGTGACGATGAGATGAAGCTATTAATAATTTAATAAAAAGGGGTCTGTACAACGGAATATAAGTCGGGAAGCGTGCCACAGCAAGTAACATGAATAGTAATTTGATGTTTAAATTTCTAAAAATAAGTTCTAAATTAAATTAAGAAAAAAAGTGCTGTATTAAAAATTTGTTGTTTACATCGAAATTTAACCTTAAAATCACCATCGACAGGTACCCTCTCTTTATTCAGATTTTGCTACTCTGATTAAAAACACAATATTATTATTTAGTGCTAAGATGTTGATATATAAGGCTCATATGTCGATAAAATAACGAATACAAAAAACAATTATCATTACCATATGACCATATAAACAAGAAAAAAATTAACTAAAATTTTCAAAATAGAATCTTTCATGCCTGCAAGATGTTAAGGTTTTTTAATCAAACTCTCAGATTCAGTCCAACGACTAGCGGACTCCGTTTCGATTGTAGAAGATACATCGAAACCCTCCGAAGCTCAGATCCGGAAACTAAAATAACGAAGGGAGACTTCGAAGAACAACTGTTGCAACTGGAGGAACTGAAGGGAGTATTAGAAAAGAGGAAGTCGGATGGAAATCCGGAAGTTATGGAATCTTCCTTGAGGCACGTGATTAAATTGATCAGTGACCTCAAGAACGACTTATTGAAGAACTAATGAAATTGTTTAACCAATTCAGAAGAATAAAAACATGTTTGTCTAATAATATATCATAATAGAGGTTTATATTTTCTTTTACATTTTTAGTTTTAAAAAACGTGTGTGTGTGTTTTTAAGACGAAGATGCCTAAATTGGTCAAAATTCGACTGATTAGTTATTTAAGATACTTGAATGTTTATTTTTGGAACTTACTTTTAAGTTTCCTGGACTTATCCTTTTATATTTATTGTTTCGTTCTCGTTCTTGTAGGTACTTTATATTATTATCAATCTAAACTTAGTATTAAAGATCCAGTAACAATAACATTCCTAGAGCGAACTGATTAAAATACTTTGGCTCCATGGGTGCCCACTCCCCCCAAGGTCGATGGCCCATGGACTTCCCCTGCTCTCCCAAGAAATTTTATTGCTCATCTCTTTTTAAAAACAATAGAATCAAAAGTAGACAACATTAGAAAAACAGTAATAATAGGACAGTAGATCATTAGCACTGCCTAAATGAGAGACCGAGTAGAGTCTTGGTCTTGCAAACTCAGTCTTGGTCATGGTCTTAGTCTCGCGCAAGAGTCTTGCAGTTATTTATTAACTTATTACTATAAAGATATTCCTGTAATATTTAGATAGGAGAAACCTAAATAAGCCCGAAAGAAAAATTAGAGGAGTTGAATGCAAAAGTATATTGATTATACCAATTATTAACATATAGTAACAAAGATTGTCGAGTATTAGTAACTATTTTACCTTAATTTTTATTTTTTAAATCGATTTTTTTTTACTAGTCCTGGTATTGGTGTTCCAGCAGTTAGGCGACCTTGGTCTTGGTCTTTCAAAGTGCAAGAACAAGACTGAATTTGAGTAACACTATAGAGCATATACAAATACACTTGCGATGGTCTGGTCCACGTTTTTTTCCATTGCTCCATGGATTGAAACTTTTTCACTACGAAAAATTATAATCCTGTCCATATGTACTTCTCAAAAATTCAAAATCCAGGAAAAATGTACCCCTCAAAAATTTTGATGGCTCAACTTTCAACTTCTGTGAACTTAGAGAGTTCACCGTGAGAGGCCTCTGGTTTGGGTCTCGCGGAACTATCCCAAAAAGAACAAGGAGTTTCCTCGAGGAACTAGGTGTCAACATTAAGGACGTAGCGAGGTTGGCTGAAAATATAGTCCTCGACTCCCTGGGAATCATTCACTACCACGTGCATGGCTAGCCCGAGAGTTTTAATTTATGTATTTATGTATTTACTTATTTATTTAATGAATAATTGAAAACAATAGAGATAAAGAGAGAGAAGTAAGAGAAAGGGAAACTAAATGTTAAAAAAAAAAAAAAAAAGCATGAACAATGAAAGGAAGGAAAAAGGAAAAAAAATATAAAATAATAAAAATGTATATATATATATATATATATATATATATATATATATATATATATATATATATATATATATATATATATATATTACTAATATTAACTAATACTTCTGTATATTTATATATAAGTTCATATATTGTCCAAAGGATAGAAGAGGATATGCTGTGTATATAGCAACCCGATATAATTGGGCAGCAATCCTTTATATTTTATGAAAATTAAGTGTTTCTCTCTCTCCACAGTAACTTCAATGACTAACGGTCAGGAATAGACCAGTTGTATTCTCTCTTCCAAAGATATTTAAATACCGAAAAATTCCTAAATATCTTATACCTATGGTGTATGATTCTGTCTTAAAGCCAGTTCTGGTATAGGATTGTGAGATCAGGAGACTAGCCAACATCCAAGAAAAAAGTATTGAAATATTCTAGAGAAAAATTGGCTCTTTTGGTCTCAGAAACATCTCATATCAATTTGATTACCCAGGGCGATGATTAGGCCGATTTTCATTGGTTGCTCGCCACTTGTTAGAAATAAAAAAAATACAAACCATTTAAAAAAAAAATTAGCTTATAAAAAACAAAACAACTTTTCTAGATAAATGTTGAATGAAATATAACATAATATAAAGTAGCATAAGAAATAAATATAATCTTTTAGAGGGGATGACGTCATTTTCCAGGGGAGGGGAGCGTCGAATGTCTAAGGTCGGCACTGTGATTACCATACGAATAAAAATTACCATATAGAGGACACTCATTCGTCGTGTACCGTGTTATGGCTCGGGAACATGGACCACAACGAAACCTGAAGAAGAACTGCTCACATTTTAACGGGAAGTATTACGCTGGCGGTGTGTGCCGATTTATGCTGAAAATGTGCGAGAATAATGAGTGGAGGAGGAGAACCGATCGTGAGCATACATCTCATTCAGATCTCATTCGTCATAGATCATTAAACTCTATATCCGGATATGTCATGCTTCATCAAGCCATCGGAAAACCGAGATGGGCCATAATGTCTGACAATCTACCTCAAACGAAAATGTTGGTTGAGCCCCTTTGCAGAGTTGGAAGACCGAAGCTACGGCCGAAGATTGCGTTGCCCATGAAACCCATGAAGAAAATATTTGAAGGTATAAAACTGGAGGACAGCAGCATAGATGGCGACGCATCTCAGTTACTGTTGGGGGAATCTTTATGGGTTATAAAGCTATCGAAGAAGAACAGAAAAAAGTCCTTTACTCCAAAAACCTGAGCGATTTGTGATCAGAGTACTGACTCAAGAAACGAGATGAATCAATAAAGAAGTGCTCACAGAAACTCATCAATCGCAATAATCCATGAAGGCAAGGAGGCTAAGATGGGCGGTGTGTATAGCTCAGCAGTCCATCAAGAATCCTCTACCGAACACTCCAATATAAAGCAAAGGACATCAGGGATCAGAGAGGTTTCTAATGTGAGATTTGTCGTTGGGGTATACTGGTATTATTTATTTTCCTTGTATAGAACCACGTGACCGCGTTATCTCTGTTATCAATTAAAGTTATCTGTGACTATTATTAGCTGTCCTTAGATTGGTAACATTGTTTCAAAATTTAATACTTTCGTGATAACAAACAATACTGTATGGCCTTAGTCAACAATATCTTGATTGACATGATGAATCGTAACTCAAAATAAAAATAGATTTACCATGCTTATTCAGGCAACAACTTATTCCAAAATATTTTCTAATTTTTAGTTTGTTTTTTTTTTCTTTAAAAATTGGATAAATATTTCAAGGCATGATTTACTTTGCCTGTATCCAACTAGTCCCGGCAAAATCTTCTATATTTATTTTTTTTTTTTGGCAGTATCATATTGTACAAATAATTTAGTAAAAATATATGTGAACGTATATCACTACTTTGTAAATTGGCTGGCACATCAGTTCATCTCCATAGGAAATTAGACAAAATTTTCTTTAAAGGAAAGTTAATTTTGCCATTGTTAAAACTATTTAAAGAGAACTATTGTGCGGAAAAACACAGCTAAGTTCCATTAAAAAAAAAACTCATAAATTATTTGTAATTTTTTTTTTATATCACCCTTTAACTGTACTATATTTACCCTACTTTTAGAAAACCTTCTTAGTTTAATAAGCTTTAATTTCATATTAATTAATTTGAGGTTTATCAGGAAAAAAATTGAGATTCCTCTCAAGTTGTGTACAGAAATTATGTGATTTTCTATCCACTCACCTAAAGTAACATTGTTTTCTGCAAAAAATGACTACAATTAACTGTTGTAAAGCTTTCATTTCTTGCTTTTCCATTGTATGTGATGTATTGTAACAAACATAATTACCTAAAAACGCATTTTATTTATAAAAATAAAAATTTAAAAACGAGTATTTTTCAAATAGTTTTCATGTAAACTGGTTATGAAACTGTGAGTTTATCTCTCAGGTCTCTGTCTTTGGAATTAATCTGTATTTATAAGTGACAAAATTAATGTTTTTACTCCTCAAATTTACGTTTAAAACAAACCTGAATTATTTTCATGAAAACGTAAATATTAGAATCAGAAACATTATGTTTGTCACTTACATATAAAGACCAATTTACAGACCTTTGACAGAGATCTGGGAGAGGAATACAGTTTTGGAAACACTTTCCTTAAAAATCATCATTTTTATTATTTATTTTTTGTTTATAAATAAAAAGTGTATATAGGCAATTATGTTTTTTTAATAATATATCTCAGAAAGTTTGCAACAGTTAATTGCAGTCATTTTTTCTGAAAACACGGGTACTTCACATTGATTATGACATTATTAAAAAATCAAATACATCTTTTACATAACTTGATGTGAATGAAAAAAACACAGATTGGTTCCCCAGGCGGAGAGAGAGATTTGAAAGTATCAAGAATAATTTAAAAGGGGATGATTCACTATGGAACATCTATTTACAAAACGATTGACGAAAAATACAAAGATTTTTAATAATAATAATAATCTTAACCCATCATCTATTTGTCGATTCCGCATATGATAGCGTTGCTCGACCGGAACTTTACCGGACCCTAAAAGAAATGAATGTCCCGACGAAATAAGTGAGATTGGTTGATATGACAATGGCGAGCTCAAAGTATATGGAGCGTGTGGGTGTAGATCTTTCTGACCCCTTTCTTACAAATTGTGGTGTTGGGCAAGGAGAAGCTTTGGCCTCCCTCCTTTTTAATTTTGCAGGAGAGAAAGCTGTAAGGAATTCTGAAATCCAACTCGGATCAACACTGTTTAACTGCACAGTCCAGGTTCAGGGGTACGGGGATGAATTCTATATTGCTGCCAGATCTGTACGAGCCCTACGAGAATCATTCCTGGCTATGGAAAATGCTTCTAGAGATCTTGGCCTAATTGTTAATGAGGCCAAAACCACGGGCGGGTTTACGGGAGAGGGGGCTTTCGGGCTGAAGCCCTCCCCAAAATGGTAAAATATAACCACGTTTTATGGAAAAAAAAAATACTAAAAAATTATCTCTTAAAGTATTATTGTTCGTGTAATTACATTTAAGGAACCACTTAAACACCATTTCATATAGATGATTAGTTTCTTTCTTTTTTCCAAAGTAATTATTTTCATTTTTATTTTAAAAAACGCTTTTCAGCTGAAGCTCCCCCCCCTAAAAAAAAATTAAATCCTGAATCCGCTAATGGCGAAGACGAAATATATGTGGAATGGAGGAGCCGAACCACGAGTTGGATATTTTTATGCAGGATAGTATCGTTTTAATAGGTAAGCAGCTTCACCTATTGGGTTCATAAATCAACTAACAAAATGACATTAGCCAGGAAGTAAACAGGAGGATTGCAGCAGCTAACCGTTGCTACTTTGGCCTTGCCAAACATTTTAGAAGTAGGAAACTCTCTAACCAGACCAATATACAAGACTCTGGCCCGTTCAGTAATCACTTATGGCTCAGAAGCTTGGGCGTTCACGAAGGCGGATGAGTCCAGGCTGCTTGTCTTCGAGAGTAGCATTCTTAGATGGATTTTCGGTTAGATAGGACTTTTGTTTGTTGTTTGGACGGATGTTTGGAGAAGAAGAAGGAATGTTGAACTAACGAGACTACATAACGATGTTGATATAGTCAAGTTCGTGAAGCTCGGCCGACTTCGATGGGTAGGACATGTGCATAGGATGGCTGCCAACGAAATTCCGAAAATGTTCCTCGCCACGGAAAACGTTTGTGTTCGTTAGCGAGTTGAGCGACCGATCGTATGATGGATGGACTAGGTCTCTGCGGACGCGCGAGCCCTTCTTGGAGTCCGAAACTGGAGATCTGGAGCAAACGTCTGAACAAACTGGCCGAGACTTTTGGAGGAGGCTATTTTTGTCTAATAAGTCTCAACTTAATTAATAAGGACTTGAACCTTATCAAACCGGCAAGTTTTTGAAAAAGTGTGGTTTCTTTAGTATAGTTGGATAATAATAAAAAAATAAAAAAAATCGCAAATAACTCAGGACTCTTTTAAAAAACAGAACGTACCTCAGTTTAACCACTCAAAAGTCCTCTTTAAATGATTTTAACAATGGCAAACTCTATTTCCATTTAAAATAATTTTTATCTACTTTACTAGCAAATTTCTCAGACAAACACAGTACGTTACCTGGGACTAATATTCGATAGAAGGATGACCTGGAGCCCACACGTCAAAATTAAACGACAGACCTTAAACAAGCTACTGAAAATACTGTACTCACTCTTTTCTAAATCGAAATTGAAAGTTCGACAAAAACTAAATACATACACTTACCTACTCAAACCCATCTGGACATACGCCTCTCAGATTTACGGTTCGGCAAAAAAGACGAACTTACAAAAACTACAGTCATTTCAATCCAAAATTTTACGACTTATAACAGGAGCTCCCTGGTACGTCAACAACAAAACTTTACATAACGACTTAAGACAACCAACTATAGACCAACACATACGTACTCTCTACTCTCGTTTTCATCTCAAACTACACGGACACACAAACAGATTTATAACCGACATGGCTACGACTGACATGCCCATCAGGAGGAGATTAAAAAGGAGCTGGATGAGAGATCTCCTCACCTAAATAAAAAAAATAAAAAAATAATGACCAGGAAGAAGTGCTGCTGGGTACTATCCTTCCTCGTGCCTTTAATGCCTATCCTCATCATTAGAACACATCTGCTGGTTGTCAACACCATGGCAGGTGAATAGTTAAATAAATAATTAAAGAGAAAAAAAAATCTACTTTAATATGGAGTATTGCTTAATTACTTAAATAAAATATTTTTTAAGTTATCGCTTCCTATTCAACGAAAAACGTGACTTATTTAAAATTAAAAGCAAATTTTAAATTTCCTACTTTTCTGATATAAATTGGGCAGTTATTATTTATATGAACTTTTTTGTAGATCTTGATTTCTACTTTAACCTTTTAAATATTTTTCGCTACTTATTGGACACAGAATTAGATTTAAGAAGTATTTTAATATTGCTAAGACAGCAGTTGTTTTCATACAAGTCTTTTTCATGTCAAGGAATCCACAAAATGGAAGTCGTCCATCACGTGTTCCTTATATAACATCGGGATTTTCCTTTGTTATATTTTAGATTTGTTTTTCCTATTTATTATAAATATTATTTATAGTTATAAGCTGCTTTAAAGTCGCTATAAAGTTTGTATAAAGGTACTATAAAGTGAGACTGACAGAGAAGAGAAGACTAGAACCCAGACAGCCGTTAGAGAGAGCAGACGCTGTGAGGTCGATAGCCCGAAATCGAGCGTTGCCCCTGGCTCTACCCTCCTGTCTCAAGGTCCCCCCCACCACCATCTCGTCCAATCTGTGTCTCCCTATATATATATGTATATATATTGTTAATTTTATATATTTATTTATATATAACAATATAAATATAACAAACAAATATAATAGAAAACCTTTGTGTGATATATACATAATTTTTCAAATGTATTTCAAGCCACTTTTTAACCACTCTAGCCATAGACGTACGTAGGTGCCTAAATAATTTGAAAGAAAATAAAACAATATAATACAAAAAATTTGGCGAAAATTCAAGAAAATTAATGTATAAATTTTGTTCCATGTACATATAAAAGTATTTAAAAATTATTATATTTTTCAACGTTTTCCTAATTTTTTATGAAAGCTTATAATATAGTTATGATATAATAATAAGAAAATTGCGTATGCCCTTGACTGTAGCTGC